CAACCTTCCTTCCGCGGAGTGGCTGGTGGGTTTGAACTGCCAGCCTTCTGGTTAGCAGTCAAGTGCCTTAGGCACTATGCTACCAGAGGCCTATAGATATTTCAGTATCTTGTATTCTCATTTACTTGTTTTGTATCAGTTCCTTTTTTAAAATTTCAGCCTTATACTGATTCACACAGACTGGTTGCTTTTATAGGTAACAAACTGAATGTGGTGCTAAGGCATCAATGGAGCATGGGCTTTACAAAAGCCCAGCTTGGTTGAGTCATGGCATCCTCACCTAGCTTTCTGTGATCTTGGGCATTATTAACTTCTCTAAGCTAGAGTCCTTATTCTAAACCAGAAATGGTAATGATACCTATGTCATAGAGAAAAGGAGGCCTGGTGGTGCAGAAGTCAAGACCTTGGCTGCAAACCAGAAATTTGGCAGACTGGAGTCACCATCCACTCCATGGGAGAAAGCTGTGGCAGTTTGCTTCAGTAAAGATTTATGGCCTTGGAAACCCTATGGGGTAGTTCTACTCTGTCCTCTGAATTGACTCGATGGCAACAAATTTAGTTTGGTTTGGTTATCTCATAGGGTTGTTATGAGGACTGAGGAAGTTGTTAGCACAGAACAGTAAAATAAAAACCCTAAATTATTATTTACCATTAATATGTAAAATAGATATAGGTACTACTCTACAAGATAAAATGCACATGGTAGGTGTTTTAAATTGGTTTTCCTCATCATCAAATAAGAAATTATCACAAAACAGCGGAATGTGAGATGACAGTTAAAATATAACAGCCGAGAAGTCAACATAAATACTTTATTGTCTTAGCTTGGAATCATACAAGTGTAACTCTTTGCGATCAAGTTTATTCTGATTCATAGTGACCCAAATACCCCATAGTGTTTCCAAGGCTGAAGACATCTGCCACATGTTTCTCCTGTGGAGTGGCTAGTGGGTTTCAACCACCAATCTTTCAGTGAGCACTTAACTACAGTGCCACCAGGGCTTCTCTTAGCATTCTGGTGAAGCTAAATACTTTGAGATAAATATTGCACCAAAAAACTAGAAAGAATCACATAGTATTGATATAAAAGAACTTACCAAAAAGAATTAAATTTAAAAAAAAAAGTCTAAGTTCAATCTCTAGAATCGATGACTTTGCAATTATGCCTAAATGTATAAAATGAAATGGGGAATTAAAACAAACTATTTTTATTATTCAATCATACACCACTTCTGGTTGAAACAGCCTACTAAGATTTTGAAGCTGGTATAATGCAGCAATGTTTTGTCATTAGGCTAGTCTAAAGGAGTTGTCTAAAGGAGGGAGACATAGAGAAGTTAACTCCTAGAATCATAATTATCATTAGAAAAGGGTTGGCAAATTTTTTCTGCCATATGCTTTCTGGTCCAATGCATAGAACTCCTGAGAGAAAGAGTTTTGCTTCATTAGGAGTGGATTGGAAAAGCTGTATTTTGTCTTTTTTGCTTGTTTGCTTTAAAAGGCAGAATCTTCTACAAGTGGATGTCTAATATGCTGTCTAATTCTAAATTGGCATTTTCCCCAAGGGGCCCTGCCATTTAGTTGTCAGCACTAATGGATAAGAGAATTAAAGGATTATTTATGTAAGGTGGAAAGAATGGTCTGGTTAGTAATTATGTGCCAAAGAGAGTACTTCCCTTCTCCACAGTATAGCTATTGTCCCTCTCATTTTCTCAACAAACCCTTAGCTACAGGTTGCACAAACTTCAAGAACAAATGCAATCTATTAACTTCATGATAAAGACACTTGAAACATGCCATCTTTACATTAATTCCCCACAAATCTGCCATTGTCACCACAAAACCTCTGGGGTCTATAAGGATGTGAGGACTTTGACGGAGTTTCTCTGCGTATCCATGTTCATCGCAGCATTATTCCCAATAGTAAAAGGATGGAAAGAACCTAAGTCTCCATCAATGGATGAATAAACTGTCATACATATACACAAGAAAATGGAATACTAGACTAGACAACGGTAAAGAATAAGAATCCATGGATCCAAGAATCCCTGAAAAATCTCACAACATAGATGAACTTGGAGGACATTATGCTGAGTGAAACAAGACAATCACAAAAGGGCAAATACTGTATGAGACCACTATTATAAAAAGTCATGAAATTTGTCACACAGAAAGAAACATTCTTTAATGGTTACCAGGGAAGAGAGGGGAAGGGAAAATAACTAACTTTATGGTAGACATGTTAACGTCAGTGAAGGGAAAGACAATACACAAGATGGGGGAAGTCAGCACATGACCAAGGCAAAGGAAGACTCTGAGAAGTACACAAAGGTAAATAGCAACAACGGTAAATACAATTACATACACCATCCTGCAACAGTAATGACAGTAATTTACAAGTGGATACATAGGTAGATGTGTAAAATGAACATGTGTGGGATGGTGTATGGAAGTATAACCACATGCATATACAGGTTTGGTAGTGGGTATTTCTATGTATATATTTGTCTGTGCTGCAAATATATCCATGTATATAACACACAGGGGCAGAGTCAGGAAAACTTAGTCCCTCATGGGACTGAGTTGCTGGGCTTGTGGAGAACTAGGAACCATATAGTCTTAGGACATCTAGGTCAACTGGTGTTAACAGAGGCCATGAAGACAGTGTTCTACGTCCTACTTTGGTGAGTAGCCAACTGGCGTCCAAAAAGCTTGCAAGTGTTTATCTAAGGTCCAACTATTCTCTTTCTGCCTGGAGCAAAGAAAAGTAAAGAAAACCAAAGACTGAAGGAAATAATTAGTCCAAAAGACTAATGGACTACATCAACCACAGCACCCACAAGCCTGAGATCAGAACGAGATGGTACCTGGCTACTACCAACAACCACTCTGACCACATCACAGTAGGTCTTGGACAGAATGAGAGAAAACAGTAAAACAAAATTGAAATTTACAAAAAGACATGGCATCAGGATTGGAGGAAGACTCATTAACAGCCTGCGAGACGCTGATGACACAACTTTGCTTGCTGAAAGTGAAGATGTCTTAAGCACTTACTGATGAAGATTGAAGACTAGTCTGCAGTATGGATTACACCTCAATATACAGAAAACAAAAATCCTCACAACTGGACCAATAAGCATCCATAACTGGAGAAAAGACTGAAGTCAGACTTCTTATTATTTGGTCCTACAATCAACAACAATGGAAGCAGCAGTCAAGATAAAAGACATACAGCATTGGGCAAATCTGCTGCAAAAGACCTTTTTCAAGTGCTGAAGAGCAAAGACATCTCCTTGAAGACTATGGCCCTCAGACACCCTTTAAACTTTGAACTGAACCCACTCCCAGAGATCACCTTATAGCCTAATAGTAACTCACTGCTATTGAGTCGATTCCGACTCATAGCAACCCCTTTGGGTTTTCAAGGCGGTATCTCTACGGAAGTAGATTGCCGTCTTCCTTTTGAGGAGTGGCTAGTTGGTTTGAACTGCCAGCCTTCTGGTTAGCAGTCAAATGCCTTAGGCACTATGCCACCAGAGCTCCCATCCCACTCAAACAGTAGGTAGACCTATTAAGTAATACCTATGAGGTCGGGGCCGACTCGACAGCAAACAACAACAACGAGGAACATGTTTCTCACAACATCAACTGTGAAAGACCAGAAGGGCACCCGTTTGCCAAAAACAAAATTCAGAAGGCAGGAAGGGGCAAGAAACCTGGGCAAATGGAAACAGGGAACCCAGGAAGTAGGGAGTGGTGCTGTATTGAAGGTACTGCAGTCAGTGTCAGAAAACAGTATCTAAATTGTTGAATGGGAAACTCTAATTTGCTCTGTAAATGTTCATCTAAACCACAATAAAATGTTCCCAATAAACGTTTTTAAATTTATACCTCCCTTGTAATATCAGTTGACCCTAGTTTGAATAGGCATCCACCATGTAGTTCACAAAGGGAAAAAAAGATAAATATGTTGAAGTTGTATATGGCTTTATACTCAAAAAAGAGGATTAATACCATTAAAACTAAAAGTTTCCAACGTTTGAAAAGGGGTTTTCTGGCGAAGTTGCTTTTTGAATATTTTAAATACCATAGTACAAAATTGACTTAATGTTTTCAAATCGAGTTATATATATACCCTTATGATAGGTACATTTTTCTGAATTTTACGCCTTTTTTTTTTAATTTACCCTTAACTTTTTTGCCAGAAAAATAACAAGAGGAATTGTTGAGATAGCCAATGCTTCCCAATGATTTATCAGCAAGTTGTTTATTTACTGGAAGTCAAATAGTTCAAGACTAGAAATTTAAAGATTTGAGTGATGGGAAATGTACTGCTGATCTTAGTTTTAATTTTTGGGGAAAAAAATCCAAACTCAGATATTTTTTCTTTCTTTTTATAGTTCAAGTACGCTTACAAGACTGATGGCATTACAGTGGTATAATTATGAAGGACTACTGAAGAATCTGAAGTACTGTACTATTTGGCTTTACTTGAGTATTTATTAAATACTTCAACATCTGACTTTAACATATTAGAAAAAGCTTTCTTACAAGGCAGAGTTTAAAAGCAAGAACATTTCTGCTGTATAAATGGCATTGGGTATGTCAGTAAGGTATCATATCAAAATTAGTACAGACTGAATTCTTGGTTAGGAAAATCCTATGTATAGTAACTTTGAAAGTAAAAGATGTTTGACTATATTTGTATTTTTAATTAGCTACCATTAACAGATTTCAGACTTTTTATATGTATATTTTGATACTGAAGCTTTTGGGGAAAATACAGTTAATAAAAAATTGATTTTTTTAAAGGAAATTTTAAAATTCCTACTTTTTTTTTTTTTTGCTAAGTATTGTGGAACAAACCCTCTCCTTTCTCCCTTCTTTTTTAAGCACAGAAGAGACACACATTGTCATGCCTCAAACTATTTTTTATTTGCAACTACATGATTTCACGCAATTCTTCTGAACAGTGACATAAAATAGATATCCTTGTGTATAAATAACTTACATACTTTCCATAAAGTAAATGCTCAAAGGTGCTAAAACAGATTGTCCAGTCCTACAGAGTTCTCATATTAAACAAAGTTGATGCACAATATATAAATACTCAAGTTCAATATTAAAAACTCAGGCACTTGACTAATTTTAATAAAGTATCTCAAACTATATCAATATATCTAAAGTGAATATATATATTTTTAAGAAAGATTATTCTCAATAACTTTTCTATAAAAATAAGTTTGATGGTTTGATCCATCTAACTTTACTACTATAAGTATGAACTTTGAACTTGTAATATATAGGCTTCTTCTACTTTTTTTCACCGTGATACTAACAGAAACAAAGGAGCTAGTGAGGTGCTAACATGTGAGGATTAATCCAGTGGTTCCGGTCACAGTACATTCCAGGAGGAGGTACCCATGTCACTGGAATTGGGCGATATGGTTTATTCTTCCTTCCCTGATTTGGATAACCAAATGGAACAGGAGGTGGGTAATGACTCTGATGGCCATTCCCACGGTACATTGGTGGTTTTTTCTTAGGCAAAGGATGCCACATTGGAAGAGGTGGGAATATCAGTTCTGAAATCTGTAAAAAAGAGAAAAGTTAATTAAATGGAAAAAGTAGTATTTTATGTTAAGACTAAGTGACCTTTCAGATTCCTAATTAAAGACAAAGTCACTCACTCACAACCCAAGTGACATTCCCAAATGTCCATTTTTAAAACTTCATATATCATAAGTGGTCAATTTAAAAAATTTTATTTTTTATAAAGATACACATAGCAGATCATGTACCCATTCAACAATTTCTACATGTACAGTTTCAGGCTGAATGATCAGGTATGTCTAGGTAGAGGGAAGTGTGCCCATGACCAAGTAGGGTTGGCAGATGATGTTTCTATATGCATGTTTGTATGCACTGTAAGAATGTCTGGGTGTACAGTGAAACTGACAAGGAGCAAGGTTGTGGTGGCTTCCTGGCCTCAGCCAGCTACCTGGGGAGACCATGTAGTTGGACCTGGGGGCTTGGGACCATAGTCGCAGGGAACATCAAGCTCAACTGGCTTAACATGCTACACAAAAACCTTGTTCTACTCCTATTTTGGTAACAACTAGGGTCTTAAAAGCTTGCAAGCAGCCATCTAGATGCAATGATGGGTCTCTCTTCACCCAGAACAAAGAATAATGAAAAAAACTAAAGATGCATGGAAGCAGTTAGTGCAAGAGACTAGTAGGCTATGCAGTTCTCAGCATACATGACCATGAGACCAGAAGAACTACATGGTGCCTGGCTACCACTGGCAACCACTCAGAAAGGGATCAATGCAGGAGATCCTGGATAGAGTGGGAGAACAATGTGAAACAAAACTCAAAACATAAAAAAAGACCAGGCCTACTGGTCTGATAAGAGGATGGTGAGACCCTGAGACTATGGCCCTAGTACCCTTCAAGTCTGGAACTGAACTCACTCCTATGGCTTCCATCCAAACAACAGATAGGCATATGGGGTAACCATTTACAACAGGTAAATGTTGGAGTGATCAATTGTGGGAGAAAAGAAGGGCAATGTTTGCACAGGGAGATAGCCCAGGGGGTAGAAGTTCACAGAATGGAAGGACACAGGGAAGAGGTAACTACGGGAAGGAAGTGGGAAGAGATCTATCACACTGTGGGGAATTGCAGTCAATGTTATGAAACCGAGTGTGTATGAACTACTGTATGGAAAATGAATTTGCCCTGTAAACTTTCACCCAAATCACAAAAATTTGAAAAAAAAAAAAAAAAAAAAAATTCTACATGTACAGTTCAATGTCATTGGTTACATTCTTCATATTGTGTCACTATTCTCTCTCCATATTCAACTCACTGCCCTATAAACTGGTTATTTATGCTTCAGAATTACAGTTGTCAATTTCATCTATAAAAGAATATAATGCTCAAGGCAAGTATTTCTTTGTTAATTCAGCTAAGCTGTTTGTTTAGTTTGGAGATGGCTTTAGGAGAGAGTTTCAGTTCAAGGTTCAAAAATTTTCTCAGGACAACAAATTTGGGGGTCCCTCCAGCATCAATGCATCCAGTAAATGTGGATTCTGTAAAAACTTTGAAATTCTGCTCCACATTTCCCACTACTTTTGATTAGAACTTCCCTATTGAGTCCTTGATCAAAACGTTCAGGAATGGTAGTCAGGTACCATTCAGTTCTTCTAGTTTCATGGCCAAAGAGGAAGTGGTTCATGGAGGCAACTAGACCTACAGTCCAGTTCTTCTCCATTTGCTGGGTCATCTTCCTCTGCTGATACAGGAATCTTGGATGGCCACTAATAAGCTTTTAAGACCACAGAAACTACTCACCAAACTAGGGGGTAGATCAGAAACTTTATAAATAGTGTTAGGTAAACTGGCTGGAAAGTTCCCCAAAGCCATGATCCCAAGCATTGAACTAAGAGAACTATTTTCATGAGGTATTTGGTTGTACCTAAATAGTATCAGCAACTGCATCTTTTTTTGGGGGGTGGGGGTGGGGTGATGGTGGTGGTGGTGATGGTTCTGTTGTTGTAAAATTATATATAGTACATTTCCCATTGTGCCTTTTTTTCTGGTGTACAATTCAGTGTTATGTTACATTAGTTAAATTGTATAACCATTACCTTTAATCAATGCCAATTTTCTCATCACTATATAAACTCATTACACTCATTACCAGAGAATGAGGCCCTTTCTCCCTATCCCCTCCCACCCCAGATAACCACTAATAACCATTCCACTGGTCTCTATACATTTGTCTATATAACATATGATCAATGTTTTTATGAATGAATGTAGAAATAAATGAATAAACTAAAAACACAACTCTAAAATAATAACACTAAACTGTACATATAGAAATTGTTGAGGTGTATGTTTTTTCACAGAATGAATGAAGTTTATATGACACATTATGTTTTATACCAGTGGTTTCTGCACCACTGGCTGGTTAAGCAAGGAGACACCTAGGGAGCTCTTAAATACAAACATGTTCCCAGACCAGCCCTAGTCTACTGAAGAATAAGACTAAAAAAATCTTATGAATAGAGCCCAGGTATTCTGATGAAGCTACCCAGTTGATTCTGATATACCCAGATTAGCATTTGGGAACAACAGTCTTACATTCTCCCATAAGTCATATAAGTACATTATTCAAAATGTTATCACCATTGTGACTTTTTTTGTTCATAATGTCACACATCCTGACTGAATTTCAGATTTCTCTTTTACCTGCCCCCTTCTTCTAAGTACAAGTTTGTTTGTTTGTTATTTTTTTAAAAAAATTGTAATTTATATTCTATCTAGCATTCTCATAATAGAAAATTCAAAAGATAAAGAAGTATATTCAGTGGAAAGTCCTTCTTCCTATTTGACCAGCTGCTACCAATTGCCTTGTCAGAGGCAATAGGTACTAAACAATTTTTTTGTGTATACCTTCAGAGATAGCCTATGCATACTTTAGACACACATACACATAATTCTGTACCCTTTGTATAAAAATGTTCCTCGTTTTAGTTACATAGTCTTGCAATAACTATACCATATTTAAATTAACTGGTCTCCTATTGCTGGGACATTTAGGCTGCTTTCAGTCTTTTGCTATTAAAAAATAAATTCTGTAATAACAAAACAAATAAATAATAATAATAATGCTGCAATGAATAACCTGAGCACAGTGAATTCTTAATTACCTACAATAATGTGGAAAATACAGAATTTATACTTCAAACTACTAAATGACCTACACTGTAAGATAGTAACAAAATAAAATCTTTTTCTATTGGGGTGCTGGTAAGCTTTTTAAATTGCCAGAAAGCATATAAAAAGCCTGGAACTTACATTACCTACCTTCCAGTTAATCCTAACACCCCATAGGCAACCACTGTTCTGAATTCTATCACCAGATTAGTTTTCCCTGTTTTTAAACTTCATATATGTGGTAGTTCAGTTTGTATGTCAACTTGGCTGGGCCTGGGTGAGTGGCTGTGCAGCTGGTGGTAATTATTCCCCATGATGAGACTGGCAATCAACTCCAGGGTGGGATCCACCACAAGCAGCTGAGTAGCTGCCTTTGGGATGTGGTCTGCTTCCCATATATAAGTAGTAGCTTTGGGAATGGTCTCTAGCCTATGGCATGCTTAGACCCTGCATGTAGCCGTGTCATTGTTCAGCAGCCTGCCATGCTCTGCCAACCTTGGGACGTACAATGGGCTTAAGTTAATAAGTTAATGGCCTGCCATGTAGTTTGGTAACATCAGGACTGTGCCTTTTGACTTGTCAATCTTGGGGCTTCTCAGCCTCAGCAGCCAGCAGCTGTCTAAGTGAAGAAATGCCTCTAGCTCCAGTGGGCCGGGAGAGGAGGCAGAGCTAGACACCAAGTTTGAGGGGCCTTCACCCAATCCCTAGAGCCTGGCACTCTGAAGTTGGACTTAAAGCCTCCAAATTTTAAGAATAAATTCCTCCCGTTTGTTAAGGCCATCCCATTTGTGGTGTATCTCGTCAGAGTGGCACTAGGTAACCAGAACAGTATAAAATGGAATCATCCACTATGTAGTATTTTGTGTCTGATTTCTTTTGTTCAACCTAATATTTGTAGGGTTCTTCTACATTGTGTCTATTATTACTTTGTTTTATCGAGTCACAATTTGTTTGTTCATTCATCTGTTTGTTAGTGGACATTTTGTTTGTTTCCTGTTTATTATTATGAATAAAGCTGATACAGTCTAAGGCTAAACTGTGCAGACATCATTGGGTAATATGTAGAAATAGAACTGCTGAAAAAATTGAGTAGATGCATGTTTCCCAAACTGGTTGTACCATTTTACACTCCCACAAGCAGAAAAAATATGGCCTTTGTAATGACACTGGAAATCACTTGATAGAATACTACAAGACCTGTGATTTATTCATCAGAAATACTTTTTTCCAACAACACAAAAAAATTACTATATATGTGGACACAAGAATCAAACTGGCTATATTTGTGGCAAGAGAAGATAGAGGAGCTCCATTATCATCAATCAAGGCAAAGCCAGGGACCAACTGTGAAAAGATCATCAACTGCTCAAATTCAAGTTCAATGCCAGGCTGACAAATAACAAAGCAAGTCCATGAGAGCCAAAATACAAATCTGAATACATCCCACCTGAATTTAGAAACCATCTCATTTTGAGACACTGAACACTAATGACCAAAGAGAAACAGAGTTGTGGGATGCCATCAAGGACATCATACATGAAGAAAGTAATAGGTCACTAAAGAAAGAAAAGATAAAAATGATGTCAGAAGAAACTCTGAAACTTGCTCTTAAGCACAGAACAGCTATAGCAAATAAAAGGAACGAAGTAAAAGAGATAAACTCTAGATTTCAAAGGACAGCTCAAGCAGAGATTGGTAAAGTATTATAAATAAATGTGCAAAGACCTGGAGTTAGAAAACTAAAAAGGAAGAACATGATAAGCATTTCTGAAGCTGAAAGAACCAATGAGAAAATTCAAATTTCAAGTTGCAATACTGAAGGATTCTATGGGCAGAATAATAAATGATGCAGAAAGCATCAAA